CGATGAATAAGAATGATTCTAGAGAATCTCGTTATTCCAATGAATAAAAATTGCGGGGCCATCTGCTACTCGCGGTATGATTCTTCTTCTTCTTTCATCCGATGGATATATCTGTCCCGGGTTGGGACTCAATTGTGATTCAATCGATTGCGTGTCACGAATCTCGGGTGCGCGCGGGTTCATCGATCGCGTTAATTTTGCACGCCGTCAAGCTTGCAAAATATCATCGCCATCGTCGCGAGAACTGCACGCGTTTCGGAATGTAACGTCGGTCTTCACGCCAACCTCCTCGCAATATTGCCCTCGTCGAAAATTGCGACTGTACGTCACGTTCTCGTGCCCGTAGTCCCAGAACGAAGTTGAAACACGACGTATCAACGCAATATATTAACTCAAAGGCGACGTGGTACTTTACGGAATGTTTGATGAATATTAAAACTGCGGATGACAGTTCAAATCTCGACCAAGATCGTTGCGCAGTTGCGTCTACCGTTATAAGGCTTGTAAAATTAACGCCGCGCCGCCGCGGAAAATCGCGCTTTAATTAAAATTGCATGGAAATAACGCGGACATATATTTGCGCCGCGTCAGAAAAACGAATCCCGTTTTGCTATCCCTTTTTAATTCCATTTTAATACGTATGGTTCTTTATAAACTTTGTACACTGCATAATCGATTTTACAAAGGAAATTGCTACGAAAACACTGAAACACTTTATAATGCCTTCGTAACAAACAATGATATTACTGTTTCAAAATGAAAAATTGCATACGTCGAAAATATTTTCAAAGAAATTGCTTTAAAATTAATATTTCTTGATGTTCATATTTTTATTTTCGCTGATGAAACTTTGTGTTATGCTTTTATTATAATTAAAAAATATGACGCATTTTTTTCAATGATATTTAAACACAGTTTAAAAATATTTTCGGAATGCAAGTCAAAATACACATGATCCGCCGTTATCGTGTATTTTTATATATGAATATTTTTGTCAATTTAGAGTTGACATTTCATAATAAATTTTGAAAAAAATTATCCGATATTTTTTAATTCATACGCTGCACCACAGTATAAACGCATAAAAATAATCTCTCTTTTCATGGTGAAAATATAAACATCTTGTTACAGTTTTTCGGTTTAATTGATAATTAAATTTATTAATATTTTAACGTATGAGGTTTGAATCTATTTTAACTTTTGAATGATCTGGAAATTAATTATTATCCCAAAGGCTAACACAATAGGTTTTAATTATCATGTCATATACATATCGAATATTTTCTCTATCGCCTTAAGTATTAATTTTCTAAACATTATTTCTTTCCGCATCTACGATGCGGGCCAAGAGTAAACGCAAAGGGAAACAGGATAGGAAAGATTTGTAACTTACATTCACGTTGGATTCGCCCTCCGTCATGGTCCTTGAGTTTCCGTCACGAACGAGCCTCTGCACTCACAGGAATAAAATCACTTTTCTCTCCCTTCACCTGTACCACTTTTTCTTCCCTTCCTTTTTCTCTCGCTCTCCTTCTTTCTCCACAATCCCAATTTTCACTACCGGCCAATTTTCCGTCGGTCGGCCTGAATTCAGTGGCTCCAGTCCATTAATCACTGCTTAGCGGCCGGCACGGGGCGAAAACCTGTATTTAATTTTTCACGCAATGTCGCTTTGTATTCAAATGGGACCGGATACGAAGTCGGACTCGGGACGGGAAGAGGATTGCGGGAATGTAGGAAAATAAAGGGAGATAGAATAGAGCGCAAAAGGTGATCGGCCACCGGAGCTAGATCAGACTAATTTCAC